AGTTGAGTTGTCCTCTCCTCTTCCATATTTTTGGTCATTATCTTAGTTTTATTAATATTAATTCTCAAACCAGCTACAAGTCCATAGTCTCCAAGTTCTTGTTTCAAAGTAAGAATTGATTCCAGTGGGTTCTCCAGTATAAACACTAGGTCATCTGCAAATGCCACCAGTTTATATTCTTCTCCTTTTAGTTTCAGACCCATAATCTCCTTCTTTTCTCTTATTGAGTCGTTTAATATTTCCAATACAAATATAAATAACAAAGAGTGCAAATAGAATCCAGATTTGCTAAAGACAAGAGAATCGGATTTTATAAAAACCTTATAGAGATTGAAAAGATTATGACATCTATGGATCAGAAGCTTTTACGAAGATTTTATGTGTTGTTACTTGATGATTTAATGGTGGATGAAATAATAAAAGGGAATATGATTCAATGGGGGCAGAATATTGGGCATGCTGTTAATTTAGAGCAGTGGGATCAAATATGGAAGAAAAATATTAGGATTACGAAAGCTATTCCGTATAAAGAAAACATATATAAAATGTTTTATAGATGGTATGTAACACCTGAAAGGTTAGCTAAAATTGACCCGAAATGTTTGAATAAGTGTTGGAAATGTGAAAATAAGGTTGGCTCATTTTACCACATGTGGTGGCATTGTGAAAGATCTAAGAAATATTGGGTAATGGTACATGAAATCTTGCAAAAGGTACTAGGGACGGTAGTACCATTTACACCAGAGACTTTGTTGTTGAATATTCTACCTGATAATTCTAACAAAGATGATCGTTATTTGATAGTTTTTTAACTACGGCTGCAAGAATTCTCTATGCAAAATATTGGAAATTACCGGAGATACCAACAAAACGAGAACTAGTAAATAAAATCTTGGAGGCTGCGGAATTGGATAAATTGACTTTATTGATAAAAGGCGCAATAGATTCGACATTCCAGAATACTTGGTCACGGGTCTATAATTGGTATGATAAACATATGTAGGCAAGCTTCCAAGAGACAGACTGAGAGTTTACTAAATGAAATAGGATGATAGAGACAGAAAAGTTGCTTACACAGTTCATGAGAAATTGTTATTAAGGTGGAATAGGCATCAATATAAATATTGGCAAAAATTGAAAATAACCTCCATGTATCTGTTTGTACTGTTAGTATGTATGTATATGTATGTATGTATATGTTATGATTGTTTGTGTATGTTATGTGGAAAATGTAATAAAACCCTGCCTCTTTGGGGGCAGTTTAAAAAAAAATCTGGCAAGCGTCATGCCCCCGCCCCCAACCCGTACCGCCTGGCCGAAGCTGTGTAGTAAAGAAGTACCTCAGAAAGTTCAGTAGTAAATTGTTTGCAATGGGCCGCAGACGAATTGTCTCCGTCTGATCGCTCCAGTGTGCTTCTACTTGCCTCCTCGTTGGAGCGTGCCAAAACGCGCCGACAGAAAAAACCCTGGGTTCATCGCCGTAGTGGCACGTCACATTGCGACAGTGCAAATAGCCTTGCCTCCCCACGGTGTTATCTGGTATGTATGACTGCAGCCTAGAGCAATTAAAAACCTTAAAATCCACAGAGCACCGGGATGGCGTCTGCAGTAGCCGCTCCCTCCCTACCCAGAATCCTCTGGGCCCCCTAAATAAGTGTGTGGTGGGGAGAAGGATTGCTGGGGGAGGAGACAAGATGTCAGGAGGAAGCTTCTTTACCTAGCCATGAGCTTCAGCAGTTGAATGTCCTTGAATGGACACCAAGTTGCTCTTCTGTGCAGTGCACAAGTGAAGCTGAGGAATGTCTGCCTTGCTGCTGCTAGAATACTAGACCCTGTTAGGGATTTGAGTTGGCTGAGTCCCTCTTTTTCTCACCCTCTCCAGTTTTCCTCTTCTTTGACACCCAACTATCCTCAGCATCCCATCTCTCTTAGAGGGCATTCAGCACGCTGACAGCCAGTGTGGTGTTGTGGTTAGAGTGTCAGACTAGAATCTGAGAGATCCAGGTTTGAATCCGCACTCTGCCATGGGCGATCTTGGGCCAGTCACACACTCTCAACCTAACCTACCTTATAGTGTTGTTGTAAGGATAAAATGCAGGACAGGAGAATAATGTAAGCTGCTTTAGGTCTCCATTGGGGAGGAAGGCAGAGTATAAATGAAGTAACTAAATGCAGTGCTCAGCCTTTATCAGGCTGCTGGGGGAGGGTTACTCTTCTGTTTATGATTTGTAAACTATTTTTCTGCATACCTGGAGAGTCCCCAGCTGTCTGGTGGTGGCTCCAGTTTGCTGCCCTCCTAATAGGTAAAGAATAATCAAGTGCACATTGTTGTTTTATTTTGATTTTAACTGGAAATGTCTTTTAACTGTTACTGAAAGCTACCGTGAACCATGAGGAAAGGCACGGTATAAAATGTTTTAAGAAATAAATAAATAAAAATAGTAATTATATTCAATTCAAAGTGTTAATCTGTGTGATGAAATGGCCCCAAGTGCTGACGGCGCAGCCCTGTGTCCTTCGTTGCACGTGTCCATGTAAAATACACACACGATGGAGTACAATAGAACTATATCTAAAATAGTAGTATGTTTACCAGTATTTGTGATATTGTTGCGGAGATTGAGTCTGCTGAATTTTGGCTATGATAGTATGTGTACATTTTTGTCATGAAAGTCTTCTCTGTTGTCATCGTAACTAGCTAGTAAATTTCCCCTAAAGTAGTCCAGAGTTCTTGCCATAATGTATGCACCTTTTGTTTAAGGCATGGTTTCCAGAATTTGGGTCAATTTCTGGAACCACATTTCTGTCCAGTGCAAATGACTAAAAAGATGTTGACCGATAGCAGTAGAGTTGGCGCTCTCCTCCCAGAAGAATGCCTTTGATTTCCTGTACACTGACCAGATATTTGGCTCTTCATAAGGGTTCCAAGACAAGCATCTCTTCAGCCTTATTGGGCCTTCAGTGTTTCGCTACATTTGTTTACCTCCCTTACTCCAGATGTTCTTTTGGCCCTAGAAATTAAACCGGTGCCTACATGTCTTTCTTCTCCTTCCTTTTTTCTGTCCTCTCAGCCATTAATTTAGTGTGTTACTTCTGGAGCTGTGGTCCGACATCACTACACAGCAGCTCTTCTTTTTTATATACAGGCAGCCTGTACAGCCGCAATTCGAAGCAGTCTCCTGAAGACCAGCAAAGCCCTCCGTCAAGAGCTGGGCAACATTCCTGATAAGCAAGTCAAAGTCAGAGAGTATGAGCACAATGTTTTCTTTCTAAAATAGTTTATTCTTACTGCCATAAAATGGCCAGTGGTGTGTTATGTGCATTCCCCCATGCGGTAGTGGAGGGATTCGCCAGTGGGTGGTTCACTGCAAAGTATCTATTATCAGTTTTTGCTATTACCGAAGTGCATAGCTTTCTTCATTTTACTCAAGGTAGCCACGTGTCTAGTATAAAAATAAACTTCTGTAAATGAACAGACTGCAGCAATTAAGAATATAATTGTGTGCCATCAAGTCACAACCAACTCATGGGGTTTTCAAGGCAAGAGATGGTTTGCCATTGCCTTCCTCTACATGGCAACTCTGGTTTTCCTTGGAGAGCTGCCATCCAAGTACTGACTGGACAACCTGTTTAACTTCCCAGCTGATGAGCTCAGGATAAGCTGGGCTATTCAGGCTGCTGCAGCAATGAAATCCCCCCCCCCCTTTCTTACAGGTGCCAGCTTCAAGTTTATCTGCGCCTAGAGATGTCCCTGCAGTACCCCTTGATACAGAAATGCACAGGTGAAATGGAACAGCTTGTTGAGGAGGTGAGCTAATAAGCCCGGTTTCTCTGGGTTCCAAAGAACTGTAATTCGGTAGAAACCAGAATTGTGATCCAATGGCTGTAAACAGCTACTCCAGCCACTCTTGGTACCACTGACCTGCAGCTGCTTTTCTTCACCTGACTGTCTTGCAGATGACTGAAGTGCTAAGAATTTTGTGCTTGAATGAAGACCCAGCATACCTCACCAAGTTTTTAGAAGATATTGTAGAAATGTAAGTGCTGACTTGGATCATGGAGGAATGTATCCGGCTGCCTTATGCTTGGTTGGACCATTGGCTCATCTCCTTCAGTATTATCTACTATGGCTGATGGTAGCTTTCCAGGGGCTTTGGTGTAGTGGTTAAGAGCAGTGGACTCCAATCTGGAGAACTGGTCTTGATTCTCCAATCCTCCTCCAGATGCAGCCAGCTGGGTGACCTTGGGTCAGTCACAGTTCTCTCAGTGTGTCTGTTGTGGGGAGAGGAAGGGAAGGCGATTGTAAGCCGCTCTGAGACTCTGAGTGAAGGGCGGAGTATGAATCCAACTCTTCTTCAGCAAAAAAGGGTGGCAAGAGATCTTTTTACCTAGTTCTTGTTAACACTGTTTTCCTAGGTATATGGAATCAATACCAAAAACTCTTGGGAGCTTGTACTACAGTCTGGGGACGCAGGTTCCCCCCAAGTTGGCCTCTATCCTGCCAGCAGACTTCTTTGGTGATGATTCTGTAAGTCAGGAGAGCCAAGTCTCATCCCATCCTGCTTCTGCAGCTTCTGACCCAGCTGCTAGGTCAGCTTCTGTAAATGATGAGGCCGACAGGCTGCAGGAGCTACGCACCAGATCAGCCAAGAAAAGGTGAGAAGGAGCATTGAACTGAATTTGGATCAGGATATATTTTACTTCTGAATGTCTCCGGATTTCAGATTTTCAAAGACTTTGACAAACAATGCAGATCCTTAAGAACAGATCTGAAATATTATCTTATGTTTTTAGAAAGAGTTTGTTATCCAGGCACCGAAGTGTGACTGAAGCATCACTGAATTTGCGCCAAATAGAGATCCCTCAAGCACCTAAAGCTCGTACTAGGAAGGTAAAGTTTCCCTGGGACGCCTGTATTGGGGGGAAAGACCATACCTGAAATGTATAGAGTCCACAGTATTCTTGTGTCTGTCTGTGGTCTTGATGCTATCCCCATGTTTTAATTTCTAAAAAAAGTACAAGGGAAAAACTCAAACTTCAGCAACTACATGAAATTTTTAAAAAGAGAAAAAAGGTATACATAAACTAGAGACAAAGGTATAACAACACTTGTGGCCGATCTACACATAAGTTTCTGTAAAAGGTTTCCAGATATCAAAAAAAATCCATATGAAATTGTTATCTATATGCCGTGCATTCAAATATTGATAGAGTTCTGAGATCCTCAATCCATTGATTTACTGGGGGTGGACAATTATCTCTTCAGTGCTGTAATACAAGTCTTTTAACTATAGTAAGGGCACAGAAGGTCAATTTTCATTGACCATCAGTTAGCCTCCAAGAAACTGGCAGCTAGTTTAAAAGTATATAAGCATCCTCAAAGATCAATGAACGTTCTAATACGAAATTGATATGTAGTAACTTCTTCCCAGAAAAATTGAATGACTGGATCTGCCCAAAGCATGTTTTAAGGGACACATCCTGTGAGTTACAATGCCGACACTTTGATACTTAACTCAGATCTTTGCTAAAGAGTTGCTGTGGTGTCCAGTATATCCTAAACATAATTTTTTTCTGAATAAGTTGCAACTTAAAAACCATGTAGAGAGCAAGTATAAACTAAAAGGCCATATCCCATTGCTTTGGCAAAATAGGGTGATCTAATTCCTTATTCCATTCATTCCTGATACTCTGCATATCGTGTTTATTAATCAACATCATATAGTTATAGACAAATATTGTAGGTTTCATTTTCTGCATCAATTCAGTTAGAATTTCCAGGAGCAAAGGGGACTCAGGGCCATATTTAGACACCAACAGATGTTGCAGTTACAAATATTGTCATTGAGTGGAAGATGACAAGTCGTATCTAGATCTCAGCTGAGGAAATGACAAAAACGTATCATAGTCTTATCAATTGATCCAATGTAAAAAAATCCTCCTAGTAGACGCCAAGCCTACAGTAAAAAAGCGCCCCCCCATTTTTAGGTCTTGTTGAGCCCATAATATTAAGTTAGCATGTAAAAATAGATCAAATTGATGTTGTCATGATATTATGCACCAGAAATTACAAGAGGAATTGGTAGGATCGGATCTAGCTTAACGCATTCCACTTAGAGAGGGCACCAGACAAGAAGCCTCCAAGAGAGCCCAAGACAGAGAGTTCAGTTGCAAGGAGCAATCCCAATAATTAGTACAAGTTAACATGTGTGCCTTATGATATAAACTAAGATCAAGGAAAGCAAATCCTCCTTGATGCTATCCCCACTGTAACACTGTAAAAGTTACTTTGGTTTGACTTCAGTGTTGCTGGTTTTGAAATAAACAGATTTTGGTTTCCAGCATTAGTTAAGGCCTAGCTGTAGATGTCATTTAGAAATCCTTCTAATACCTTCTTCTAATACCTTCAGGATAGTTCTCGTGCATCCCTTGACATGAAACTATTTCCAGCAGCACAGAAAACACCAGTGCAAGGTATACCTCCTTTTCTTTCTTTTGGTCAAGGCCTAGTTGGTGGTTTTATATATGTTCTTAACATGCATGTTTTCCCTTCCCAGCTTGCTGATAGCCACAGCAATTATTAGAGGAGAAAGCAAGAGTAGGGGAATGCCAATAGCTTCAGGTTCTGCTTGTGGACTTTCTGGGGCATCTGGTTGGCCACTGCTGGACTAGAAGAACCATTGGTCTGATTCAAGCAGAGTTCACACTGTAGAAACCAATCTGGACATATGGGGGGGGGGTATCTTTCAGGCCCTGGAGGGGTGTACGTTTGTGTAATTGGTCATATTTGTGGCTACATATTAAGGGGGTATATTGAATATGGTGAGGGGCAATGCTCCCTCTAAGCTGTGGAGTCCTGTGAGCAAAAATTCTACTTTGTGAGCTACCAGCATTAAAATTGTGAGCAGGTGATTTGATTACTGCATAAATTAGTTTGCTCTGGAGCCATCCTTCGTGAGCTAAGACAAAAACGTGTGAGCTGGCGGGGAAAGAACTGTGAGCTAGCTCACACTAACTCAGCTTAGAGGGAACACTGGTGAGGGGTCTCGAGACCAAGTCCTATGAGGAAAGGATGAAGGAGCTGGGTATGTTTAGCCTGGAGGGGAGACATCATCTAGAGGATGGTGTTATCTAGAGGATGGTGTGGTTTTCTGTTGCCCCAGAAGGTCAGACCAGAACCAACTGTTTGAAATTAAAGCAGAAGAGTTTTTGGCTAAACATTAGGAAGAACTTCCTGACAGAGTGGTTCCTCAACGGAACAGGCTTCCTTGGGAAGTGATGGGCTCTCTTTCTTTGGAAGTTTTCAAACAGAGCCTAGATGGCCATTTGACAGCAATGTGGATTTTGTGAACTTAAGCAGATCATGAGAGGGAGGGCAGGAAGGCAGTGCTTAGTTCTTTTGGCCCTTTTTTACACGCCCAGGGAAATGCTGATTGCCACTTTGGGGTCAGGAAGCAATCCTGGAAGTTTTTTGTCATCTTCTTGGCATGGAACAGCAGTCACTGCAGGTGTGGAGGGGGAGGTATTTGTGAATTTCCTGCATTGTGTGTGTGTGTGGGGGTTGGACTAGATGACCCTGAGGTCCCTTCCAACTCTATGATTCTATGACATCCACCTTCCCTCTGCCAACAGGCCCTTATTGAACATTTTTAAAACCTTGCCCAGTCCTCTAAATTATGAGTGCCCATTTTTCAGGGGATGGAAGATAGAACATACTTTCATAATTGTCATAGACAAAAGAAGGAATGTAATAACAGCTGAGTTCAGTACCCCTAATATTCCTTACATCCATTGGAAGTGCCGTGTGCCAAAATGCATTCATGTATCTGTACTTTTTTTCTCATAAAAGCTGATGAAACTTGTGATAACTGTGGAATAGAAACTTGTGTGAAAACTCTTTCTGAAATCCAAGGAGTTAAAGGAAGTTGATACTCACTTTTGTTTTTCGATAGTGAAATATTGCATGTTACAAAATGTGATACAAACCAATGTATATCTTTTGACCATCCACATTAATTTTTTTAAGTTCTCAGTAGCGGTTGAAAAATTCTAAGTACCCCCAGAGTGTACACTTTGTTTTATATTAAGGTTAAAATCCTCTTTTGCTTAGTATTTGGCTTTTCTTGATGTTTTCAGAAGTGACAAAGGTGCGAAGGAACCTCTTCAATGAAGAAATACATTCTCCCAGCAAAAGGATCCTTCGAAGCCAGTCAGTATCTGCTTTGGAAGGGCTGAAGCACAAACATGGCCAATCTAATGAGGCCCTTAAAGGTGAGGGGGAACTGCTTCAGTTGGATGGTGTGTTCTGCCGTATCAGGGCTGTTCTTGCTTTTTCTGTCCTAATGCATCCTATAATTTTCTGCTGTTTCTTTAAAATGGCTACATCCATGGTTTTCTGAACAGATTCAAGTAATAAAGCTTTGCACAGACTATGCCGTTGTGGGTGGGCATTGATTAAGGGAAATGCATCCCCCTAAGAACATCTCCATACATGCAGAAAACTACATCAGAAAGAAGGGTGCAGCTATTTTCTGGTTACGTGAGTGGAGCAGGCTGGTTTTGAATTTGCAGGTAAGCAACCAAACATGCACTCTCCTCCCCCAGATGCCTGAAATGATACAATCCCTGAAAAGCTTTGCTGTTAGAGTCCGCAGACTGTATTAGCTACCCAGATGTGTAAACAGCCAATATTCCTCACTTCCAGTGTCAGTTCTGTAGCCTTATTCACTGGACGTAAAAATCTGCTATAATGTTGTTCACAGGTGGGCTTGCACGTGTGTGTATTGTGTGATTACCAGGGTGTCAAGGGCCAGAATGCTGCCTTAGCAGAAAATGGAGATAAGCAACTAGGAAAATGGGGATGTGGCAGGTTCTTTGCAAACGCACCTTTTCCACCTTGCTGAGCTTAGGCCATTGTGCAGATTGGACACCTTGCAAGACTACTGCTTTGCATCTTTCAGATCATCACAAGCTACTGACCAAGCGGGTGGCCGAGACGCCACTGCACAAGCAGATCTCCAGGCGGCTGTTGTATAGGCAGATCCAAGGCCGGTGAGTTGGGCACCAAGTGGTCTGACTTGCTCATGCTGCTTTGGGTAGAGAGGAAACTGTCAGTAACTTCCTGCATCAGTTGCTGTCTTTCTGTTCTGTTGAGCATGTCATGCAATACAGTACTATTGTGGCTGTTTGGATTGCTAGTAATTGTGCATGTGGCTCTCTGTTGCTTTTGCTTGGTAGTGTTGTAACCTGCTATTTTATATATCTAGTATATGCTGCATTGGTTGTTGCTGGGTTTGAGTTGATTTTATCAGTGATGCTGCTGTTTTGTTTTTGTGGTTTCTTCCCAAAAATAATTTTTATTACAGATTCATATTACATTTTCATATATTGCATAACACAATGCATCACACGTTCAGATTTATGTCTCGTTAATATACAAATAGTTTCAAAAAGCTGAAAATACAAACCAGAATTCAGTCACGCTCAACTAAAACCAAAATCTACTATTAAAACTGCTGCTTATAAAGAAACCCTTTATTAGCATTATATGTGCTAGAATGCCTACTTAGATATTAGAATTTCTTCCTTAGCCTGCTCTTTGGATTTATATCTATTCCAGTACTTGATGAATGGAAGCTAAGTCACAACAAGCCTTCCCTGAGAGTCTATTTTACTCTCACAAATCTTCCTATCTCTCCTTATATATAACTAGGAGTAAGGTCCGTTGTGGGAAGAAATACAAAGAGCTCTAGAAGGAAGCTTCAGGTGAGTGTACCGGCTGTGGCTGGTGGGGCGGCAGACGGAAGGGGAAAATAGAGGGAGGCAAGCCATGTTTATTTCCTTCTGCTTAGCTGTAAGGCAGGGCCGTCTCAAGTCATTTTGCTGCCCCATGTGGGTAGGTATGGGAGGACAGCCTTATGGTAACAGGTATGGTTCCCTCCACCCCTGACTTATGTTGATTTGGTGTTAAGCAGTGGCAGCTAAGGTAGAAAAGCACCTCCTCCTATGCCATGTCTTCTGGGTTTCAAGAGCCTGGAAAGCTGTTCCATAGCCAGCTACAGGGTTGCCAACTCTGGGTTGGCTCCATAGCTGTAGATTTGAGGGATAGAGCATGGGGAGGGCAGGGTTTGGGGTGCGGAGGGACCTCAGCATTGCCCGTTGCCCAAAGCAGCCATTTTCTCCAGGAGAACTGATCTTGGAGATCTCCAGGTGCTGCCTGGAGGCTGGTAATACTAAAGGGAGGGTCAGACCTGTAGATTTGAGGGGTAGAGGCTGGGGAGGGCAGGGGTTGAAGTACGGAGGGATTTCAGCAGGGTATAATGCCATAGAGTCCACTGCCCAAAGCAGCCATTGTAATAGCTGAGAAATTTTCTGTAGGGGAAATGATGTCCTGTGGCTGGGGAACACGGTGATTTCATGGCTTGCATCCCTTTATTTTCCCCTTCCCTCTGCCGCCCCACCAGCCACAGCCGGTATACTCACCTGGAGCTTCCTTCTAGAGCTTGTTGTATTTCTTCCCACAACGGGCCGTACTCCTAGTATGCTATAATTTTATTCATCAGGACCACATGCCATATCTATTTCTGCTTCAGTGGGAGGAAGTCATCCAAGCTGGTTAGGTCACGCCTCCACTTGCTCCTGGTAGGACTTGAAGGCTGATCTTCTGGTTTGGATAGCCCTGGTGCTCTGGTAGGAAGCTTGAGCTCTGCTCCGTGCCAAACTTTGAAAACCTTTGGAAAATTAAAAAAGAAAAAATTGGGAAAATTCCCTTGGGAAGCCTTCAGCCCACAGACTCAGCAAGCTATAGAGCCAGAACAAGGTACAGCTGGAGCCCCCGCAGCAGGACCAACCAAGAAATTGACTTCGGCATGGAAAAAGAGGAAGGAAGCCAAGGGCAGCGGAGAGGTGGCTTTAGAGATCTCCGTAGATGTATCAAGACCAACCATTCAGGGACAGCAACCCGAAGCTTTGGGTTACAGCCTCTCCACCACACTGAGCGAAGAGGGAGCGAGCATGCTCAAACAGACAGCCCATACCAGGCCAAGCAGCCTCAATACCACCATGGCATGGCTTTGCAAAATGTGGGAGACCTTTGCAGAACAGATATCAGGCCGGAAGGCCCTCCCAGTGAGGTCCCCCCTGCCTTGTGAATAGGAGCTGGGGAAACATAGCCAGGCCCGACCCCTGATTTCACTTGGGGGCATGGGGTGGTGCAGGAACTAACCTTCAGTGGGACATGGGAGGCCTTCCTTCCCCAGATATGCGGCCATGAGAGCAGACCCAGACATGGCACTGGGGCCATTTTTTCCCGTGCTTTTCCCACCAGGCATGGAATGGATGATACAGGTCCTAAGGGGCCTTTGGTCATTTTTATCGGCTTGGGGAGCCCCATACGGCAACTAGGGCAATGCTGACGTGCCAGCATACCTGTTTCCAGCCTGGCCACAGGGGGATGCAAAGCAGCCCTCAGGAGACAAGTCAGCAGGGCCTGCCACAGGATGCCCCCCCCACACCTCCTGACTCTTCAGCATCATCAGAATTGGAGCCCTCCCTACCACCACCTAAACAGGTGGGACAAGGCATGCAGCGTCACATTCCTTGGAAGCTTCCAAGGACAAGACCTAGCCCCCCAGATGTCCAAATCTACAAAAAAGGCCGAGAGGCCAGGAGTTGGCATCCCAAGCCAAGAAGCTGACAAGGTACCCCTTGTCATTATGTTATGTTATGTTATGGCCTATGGCTAAAACAATAAACTTATACTACTCTAAGCACCTTAAAACCTTCACTTTTTCCCTGCAACAATTGCCTGATATATTTCCATGTTCAAATACAGTTTGCTTGGCGTACAACACACATTTGGCTATATTTAAAGCATCATGCACTTTCAGTTTTTCATGGGCAGATTCCCACCTTTTTCTATCCTCTAAAGATCTTTTAGTCTTAATATAGGTCCCTCTCAAAAATGCTTTGAATGTGGAGATCCAGTTCCGGTCGCGGTGACGACAGACACGGTCGGGGCGAGCTCCTGACCAAAGTCTTTCACCCTACCTTTGGGAACGAGGGGACCCCTCTCAGGGCGCCTAGGATTCCCAATAAGAGGTGAGGAAGTCTCTTCAGCAAGGAGTTTTTATTTCGGCAGCGGAAGCAAGTGGCGGCTAGCTCCGATGGACCAAAACTGCTCCAGTGCAGAAGGCGGGGCAACACCCAGCGAGGCTCCTTCAGCTGGGTAGACGCCGAAGACTGAAACCAATGACAGAGACTCTTCCGCAAAGAGAAGCACTGTGAGTTTTTGCTCTCTGCTTTTTGAACTGCCTTAAATTAACAAGAAAGCTGTTCAACAATAGGAGGCACTGCTTGGGAGAACTAAAAAAGTAACAACTGTTAAGCCGACGGACTGTGAAGCTTTAAAGGTGGAAAAGCAACACGGCAGAGATCACAGTCTAGAGGCTAAGTTATTTTGCTGCAATTTGAAAGACCCTACAATCGGGAAGCTTGCCAAAATCCTTGCCAAAACCCTTCACTGTGGGAAGCTGTTGATGAAAGAGGAAAGAAGGTGATTAGACATTCAAGGATTTAAGGACTAATCAGTTAGATTAAAGAACTTCTTAAAACAGCAAAGGAAATATTACAACATCCTGAGTTTATGGGATTAGAGAAAAACAATAGCTGGAAGAAATAATCTCCAACTGCTTAGACTTTATTAACTGGATGTAATGAACTTTATTAACTGATTTAATGAACTTATTAAAAACTAGTGGATAGGAAAAGAAGTGATTAGGAGTGATTGAAAGCTACATAGTTTGATCTAGAATTCCAGAAGAAAGAAGAGGGATTTCCAGAAGAAGGAAGAACGAGAAGGGAAGAGAGAAGAAGGAAGAGGAGAAACTGCCGGGAACAATATCCTGCCTTATTTCCTATATATATGCTCTTACCTTCATGCCTTTGTTGTATGTTCTTTCTTTTCTCTTTTCTTTTCTTTTTTCCTTGCTTTTCTTTTTTGTGAACCAAATCTAACTAGCTAGGTTTTGAATTAGAACACCAAGAAGGATATAACGCATGTTTTCCCTTTAATTCTACAATTTAAATATATAGGGAACCAAGACTAGATTTAAGTTTGATCTCAGACCAGGGGTAGTTAGGTATAGGTTAGTTAGTTAGTATAGGGGGGATTTTTTGTGATAGCCCTGTTACCTGCTAGTATCAGCAATTTTGAAATAAATAGATCCAAATAGATTTAAGGAAATAATAATCCAGAACTGTGGCAAAGAAACTAATTGAGCAAATATAAAGCTAGTAAAGTATAGTTACTGCACCATTCAAAACAGAAATAGACAGAGTCAAAATAGACTTTAGGAGAGATATATTTGAAACATAAATACTACACAACTGCGCAATTATGCAAAATCACTGTAATTATTAGAAATATCTTTACAAATTTGATAATGGATAAATCGGGGGGTGGAAGACGTCCTTCTTTCTCCACCTCTGTAACAAACCTACGACAATTATCATTGAAAGATCTGCACAACCTAATACAGAAATCAGTAACAGCTGCGGTAAATATTTCAGTAGAAGCCACTGTAGCTAAAGCAATTGAACCGATCCAAAAAAAATTATAAGAACTTTCCAAATTAGACAACCCATTGAATCAACTGACTACTCAAACAGATTAAAAAACAAATACTGGAAAATAAGCAAGAGATAGCTACTCTTGTTAATTCAACAAACAAGTTGGAGTCCAAAATAAGATGTAGATGAACAACTACAAACTGTAAAGGGTATACAAGAGTCCCTTGAAGGTTCGGTAATTAAACTGGAGATGGAAAAAGCCTCATATATGCTAGGAATTCAAAATCTACCTGAAAAGAAAGAGGAAAACTTAAAACAAGAAATTACTCAAGCACTGGCAGACTATTTAGATATGGAATCACCCTCATAAATAGACCAAAATATAGATTTAGTATACAGAGGTAACTGTGCATATGCTAGACGTAATAAAGTACCCAGAGAAGTACACATAAAATTTTCTAAAAGAGAACTAAAGGATCAGA